AAGGGAAATTTATCAAGGATATTTCAGCCAGTTAGTCTGTATATTTCTGTTTCCATATTTGCATGCAAATTTTCAATGTCCACTGTGAAAAATATGGCATTGGGAGATACAATTAGTGACTTAACCATCTCTATAAAGTGAAATGTATATTTAAAGGGAATAGGGTGCTTCTGTACTAAGAAGTTCCAATCAATATCTCTCTAATGCAAAGATGATCATGCAAGGTGATTTATTAACTCAAAAGAAATTACTGAAATGCGAACTGCATGTGGTTTAAGCATTTGTTATCCATTCGTTGGCTTGCTGTACAAATTAATTTGTTTTTCTCTCACTGCATAGTTGGACCATTGGAAGTTTGTTTCCTGATGTGCTTGCTGACACCCTCTTTAAGAGAAGTGTTGAAGGGAAAAGAAACTCTTTTAAAAATTCACTTGTGGGATTAGCCTTCCTTAGTTGTCCTTGAGAAGGTAGTGTGAGCTGCCTTCCTAAACCAATGCAGTCCATGTGCTGTGCATAGACCCACAATACTGTTCAGGAATGCATTCCAAGTTTTTGACCCAGTGAAATTGAAATAGGCAGAAAAGAAAACAAAGAATGATGGAGAATGCCAATTGTGCACAAGTAATTTTTAAAAAAGGGCTGGAGTTGTGACAATTATTTCCATTAAGTTACTTCGTGCCAAATAGAATTTTCATTGTGGAGAGTACGGGAGATTCAAATATAATAAGATTACCAACACATAATTTTTATAAATTCCAAGTTAAAAGATTTAGTAATATATGTAAAAATACAATACCATTACCAAAATACCTGATCGTATCATCTGTTGAATGTGTTAGTAAGAATGAAAAAGAGCTGCTGACAGCCAAAAGGTAGGCCCCAAATCTCAAAAGTAGCCCTTGAGAAAATCTCAAGAACAGCCTTGAAAAAGAAAATTTGAACTCCTTGGCAGCACCATTCAAATCTGCAACTTCTATTATTCTGGGAGAAGAATAGCAGGCTCATAGGAACTGCACCACCTGAAAGATCCCTGCCAAGTTATGTAGCTCTCCAACACGGAAATATGTCATTCCTTCATGTGTTCTCCATTGTTGCTGGATCAAAATCCTAAAATTCCACCCTTAACAGCACGTTTGATGTACCTGGACAGCAGAGGGACAGCAGCAGTGGTCAAGAAGGTGTTTATAATAGTTTTTTTAACTGCCTTTAGGAATAGGTAATAAATGCCTTGTTAGCAATAATGACATCTCATAAATGAATAAAAACAAATTGCATCTGTATGAACACTAATATCCATATCTTTTTGTCTTTCTGTATTTCTTAAATGTGGACTAAATAGAAAAATAACAAGATCAAAGCCAAGGATAGCTGAAGGATTACTGCATGTGATTTGAAAGCAAGTAACCTCACACTCATATTTAAACTGCTGCTGATTTGTGTAGTAGTAGGAGAATGTGCATTAGATAGAGCCAAGGATGTGCACAAATGGAGGTTCATCCAGCAATGAGTAGATGATTGCTCTGTGGGCTAGTGATCAGTTTTGGATGAATGAGGTCTTCTGCCTAACTTCAAATATGTGAATGGTTCTCAGGTAGCCGAACAGCTTGAGACTGTGAACAAGATAGGGAGAAGCCATCAGAACTACACAAACTTAGGGACTTTCTCTGTTCTCTGCTGTAAACAACACTTTATGCTTGAAGAAAACCAGTTGGTGTCTCCTTCAGCAGTTGCTGTAAGCTATGACTTTTAATTAATGAGTCAGAGACATTTTAAGTATGAACCAGTCTCCTTTTGCCTCCTGCAAATAAGTGAAAGCTTCCAGAGAAGGAAAACCAAGAGGCAGCGTTCTGATCAGCACAAGAAAATAATCTGAGCCCATCCTTTGAACAGGGACCAGCAAACTGTACTATAACAGTAAATTACAGTGTATTACACTCTGGATCCTCTCTCCCTTGCTCCCAAGTGAGATGTATCCAAAGCTGCTGTTGGAGGCAAGGGAGGAGATTTCAGGGACCCTGATATTCAAATCCTCTCTGACCACAGGAGGCATGTCAGGGCACTGGAGCACAGATATTGTTGTACCTTTATTCAAAAAGGGTGGTAAGAATATTTCAGAAAACTACAGGCCAGTGAGTCTCGCATTTGTTGTAGAGAAACTTTTGGAAAAAAAACTGTGAGGGGAAAGAATTAATCTCCACATGGACAGGTAAGGATTAATCAAGGATAGTCAGCATGGGAGTAAGAGTCAGTAAGAGATCATATCTTACAAATTTGATTGAACTTTTTGATGAGGTGACTAGATGTATAGATGAGGGTTGTGCAGTTGATGTAGTCTGCGTGGACTTCAGTAAGTATTTTGATAAGGAAAGCTGATGGAGAAGCTAAGAGCCCATGGGATGCAGGGCAAATTTAATTTGAAATTGACTGAGTGGCAGGAAACGGACGCTGACAGTCGGAGGGTGTTTTTGTGATTGGATGGATAATAGTGCTGGATCCTTTGCTGTTTGTGTGTAGATTAATGATCTCGACATGAATATAGGAGATATGAACAGTAAGTTCACAGATGACACAAAAATTTTTGGAGTAAATAGCAAGTCTTTGACTACAGGACGATATACACAGGCTGTTCAGATTGGCTGAACAGAGGCAAATGGAATTTAATCTTGTAAAGTGTGAGATGCTTCATCTTGAATGAACTAACAAAGCAAGGAAGTATATGTTGAATAGCAGGACCATTGGAAGTACAGAGGATCAGAGACATCTTGGTGTGCATGTTCATACATCCTTGAAGGCAGCACAACATGCAGATAATGAAACCAACAAGACATATGGATACTTGCCTTTATTCGTCAAGGCATTAAATAAAAGAGCAAGAAGCTGTATATAACATTAGTTAGGCCACAGCTGGAGTAATGTGTGCAGTTCAGGTGACAACACAATAGAAAGGAGGTGATTGCACCAAGATGTTGCCGAGGCTGATGCGATTCAACTATGAAGAGGAAAATGGGATTAGTATTGATAGATGTTTGATGACCGGCCACTACATGAGGCTAAGGTTATTCTCCTTAGCACAGAGAAGGCTCAGCGGTGATCTGATTGAGGTGTACAATGTCTTGAGGGGCATAGACATGGTCAATTGGGAGATATATTTCCTTCCAGTAGAGGGGTCAATAACCAAGAGGTACAGTTTAAAATTAAGGAGTACATGTAGAGAGTACGAGAGGAAACAAAAATTCACCCAAAGATTTGTGGGTATCCGGAACTCACTGCCTGAAAGGGTGGTAGAGGCGGCAACCCTTAATACAACTAAGAACTATTTGGATAAGCACTTGAAACATGAGTAGCATACAAGACTACATGCCAAGTGCTGGAAAATGGGGTGAAAATAGATACGAATTAGATAACTGCTGTGAACACACCGTGCCGAAGGGCCTCTTTTGGTGTTGTAAAAACTCATCATCCACAACGTAAAAATAAACTAAGGGAGAGGTTTGACTAATTTATGGCGCACATGAAACTTTAAAATCATAACTACTTATGAACAAAAGAAAAACATACACATGGCTTGTAGTGATGACTGCAGGTGATGGTTGATTATGCGACAGTTTTTAATAATGGAAAATCCCAAACAAGCAGAGGATCTGGTACGATAAAAGTATCTATCCGATTACCCGTTCTCGACGTCTGGGTCCTTTTCCACAATACACACCGGGCCCTCAATCCATTAGAGTAGAGTGGACACCATGCCTTCTCTCCCTCACAATGCAGTGTATTACACTCCGGATCCTCACTCCCTCATTGTACTGTAACAGTAAATTACAGTGTATAACACCGTGGATCCTCTCTCTCGCTGTACTGTAAAAGTAAATTACAGTGTATTACACTCTGGATATACTCCCCCACATTGTACAGAAACATTAAATTACAGTGTATAACACTCCAGATCCTCTCGCTCACACTGTACTGTAACAGTACATTACAATGTATTACACTCCGGATCCTCCTTCTCTCACTGTATGTTAACATAACATTACAATGTATTACACTCTGGATCCTCTTCCCCCACACTGTACTGGAACGGTACATTGCAGTGTATTACAGTCCAGATTCTCTCTCTCTCACTGTACTGTAATAATACATTACAATATATTACATTCCGGATCCACTCCCCCACACTGTACTGTTACTGTACATTACAGTGCATTACGCTACAGATACTCTCCCCCACACTGTACTGTTACAGTACATTACAGTGTTTTACACACTGGATCCTTCCCCCACACTGTACTGTTACTGTACATTACAGCGTAT